CCCCCCCCCCCGCCACCAGACTTACCTGCAGGGACCTGCTCTCCAGGCTGCTGGGTGGCCATATGCATGTGTGGATGTGCACATGTGCATGCCATCCCCTGCCTGACCACTCTCCTCTCACTATCCCCAGCTGTTTGCAGGTTTGAAACCTCTGCCAGCCTGCAAATTGGGAAACCCACCATTTCCCATGTTCTGGGACCCTCTGTGCTGCCACCAGCCCCAGTCCCATTCTTCCTGCCCCCGCTTTGATTCCATTAAAGTATTCAGTCAAAGGATAACTAAAAATCCTGTATTTAAAGAAATATTTTTGCAATAACTTAATCACAAATGTTTTGTGGGTTTCAGCTAGTATTACATAAAACTCCCTGGTTTCAGGATTTGTTGCAAGCATACAACTCCTATCTCTAGGAAAAAAAGGAGCCTTCTTAAGGGTTTCACACTGAAACTGTGCAAACTTCATATTTTCACATGAGTTTGCTATGTAACCACAAGAAACTTCATATTAATTTAGCTTGGAGCTTTAAAATTTATTCAAATTCCAGATTCATAGCAAAACTAAATGGTGTGAGTCCATGTGAAGCAAATTGGGGTGAACCCCTGAGGACCTAAACCACCAAGTGTGTTACACCTCTACCTCCCAAAACCAAGCATGGCTCTTTGTTTAGTGTGCTGATTTTTGCTAGTGAAATGTGTGACTGATTTAAAAAGTGTTAAAAAGGCATTTCTTATTCTTCAGCATTCTTTGGAAGAAGCAGAAAGTTCATATATTGCCAGAAGGAATGCCATAGACCTTCATTTGCTATGTGAAATCAGCCCACAAAGATGGGGGTACCATCTAAAACAGGGGTGGGCAATTATTTCAGCTGGCAGCCCACTTAATGAATTTTGGTAAGCTGTTGAGGGCCACATGCATAACTTTTTTTATAAGAGATCATTTAAACAAATTATAGCTAAAAACCAAATCATATACTAAAAATCAAACATCTACTATTAACATATTTTACAAAAAATATTTTTCCCCTGATTTATGTTTTTTTGAGTAGTATATATAGAGGTGAATGCATAATACCTCAAAATAGTCTTACTTTTGTATATTGTGTGTGAGGGGTGTGTGGCAGTGGATATATGGGTGTTTGTGTGGGGGGTTATGTGGTGTGTGAGTGTGTTTGGGGGAGGGGGTGTGGTGGGGTGTGCTTGTGTGGGGGGAGCTACCCACATGCTAGGTCCTGGGAGCTGGCCAGGGTAGAGGGAGAGAGGAAAGGACAGGGGTCTAGGGGGTACATGCAGCACAGCTCATCTGGGCAGTGCAGGTGCAAATGTGATCCACCTTCCCCCATCTGGCTTATGACTGCCTCCGCGGTGCTCTGCATGGGGCTAAGCCCCACCTGCTTCTGCCCGAGGTATCCCATAGTGAGCTTCTGCTCACACCCAGCCCCAGCCCAGGTCAGTCCACACAGCTTCTCAGCAGAGCTGGTTTCAGTGTAGCCTTTCAGGTACTGTTCAACCTCCCCCACCTCAAGTGGCTCCTCCTCCTACCTCTGCCCCTACTGCACCACTGCAGGCAGTGGGTAATAATAGGAAATGGCAGTGATGGCCATGGGGATACATGCTGGGGACCACATGCCCAGCCAGGCAGTGGGGAGGAGGGGAAACTTCAGTCAGGCAGCTCCTGCCATAGTGCATGGGGCTCCCGCTCCAGCTCCTGGCTGCCTTCCACCCACAAGTGCCTGCTCATTGTGCCTGGTGGGCAGAATGGGTGGAAAGCAACCAGAAGCCAGAGCTAGAGTCCTGTACACTGGGGCAGGAGCTGTCAGGTTGCACCTTCTTCCTGCACCCCACATGGCCACTGCTGCTTCCCATCATTACCTCTTGTCCAGAGCAGTGCAGCATGGGCAGGAGGAAGAGCTGCTGGGGGCAGGGGACCTGAGCAGTATCTGGGAAGCTGCAGCCTCACTGGGAACAACTCCACTGGGAAGCTATGCACACTGGCCAGGGGCTGGGGCTGGGACTGAGGCCAGCAGGGGCCACAGGCATGAGCACAGCATGGGTTGCCCCTGGGTGGATACAATCAATTGTGGGCATTTGGCTGTGGGCCAGATCCAATCAGTTGGTGGGCTGCATTTGGCCTGTGGGCGGTATTGTGCCCATCCCTGATCTAAAATGGTATTTAGCTTTTTATATTTTAATATTAAGTACACTGGAGATTAATGAAACCAGCACACTGCCTAGGTATATCACTGACTGAGAACCAACCTCCAGCAAACAAGAGACAAGAAGGGAGAGGAAAAGAAAAAATAAACATGATTTAGTATTAAAATGCTCATTTTTGTTTTAATTTGAGTTTCCTATATAAGCCAGGGGGTAATTTGGAAGCAGTTTCCAGTATGTTTGCAATTTTTTTTCTTTGGCCTATGTTAGCTTTGCACTGTTAAGAGATGGTTTTTATTTCATATTCTTAGGTTCATCAGGCTCAGGTGTGGGGTGAGGCACAATTTTAAATCACAAACAAAGTAACAACAGATGGTCAATTCAGCAGAGCACCAGCAGAGACACAATTCAACAAATTACTGAAGCACATGCCTAACTCGGAGCATTCACATAGATGTGCCGATTTCATATGAATACTTAAAGTTTGGCACAATAATATTCTTAAATTTAGTTTCTAAGCACTGAATAGAAACTTAAATACGTATCTGTTCTGTATTAGTTTCTTGCTTACAGAACAAACTATTAACTACAACTTATTTAAAGCTTCCATAATTCATAAGCTGTTTCACAGACAATTTTGTAAAAAACTATTGTGTTTCTTTTTCAGAACATGTCTGAAAATGATATTCAGAAATTTCCCAAACTGCGAGTGCCGTAAGTAAAAATCAAAACAGTTACCCTCTTTCAAAACGTATACTAAACTGAAAGGATTGGAGATATACCATAATTTATTCTGAACAATATGCCCCCAAATAAAACATTCACTTTGCTTTCAGAAGGCAGAATGTAGAAAGAAAGATTTTCTTCCAGAGTCACAGCTCACTGCATAACAGAGTACCCTGTTCCTATACACATAGCATGTTCAGGAAGTGTGGCATCCCAGGACACACAACCTTAGGCCCCAGATCCTTGCAAGAGTAATAGCTAGATTATTACTTCTCTGCTGTTTCTGGTTCTGAAATAATTCCTGTAAATAAGGTGTTGTTCCCAAAGTGCAAGCCTCATCAAGATATTACCAACAGTGCACTTGCTCTTCAGGCACAGCCGACAGTGCTCAGTCACTAGCTATGACTGTTAGCAGGTTAATGCAGGACTCCGCCCCTTCAGCTTTCTGAGCCAGCACAAGTGGCACCCATCTTGGTATCTGCATGGCAAAAACAGTGTCTCCAGGCTTGCTTCTTTCCCCCTGCCCATGGCAGGGGGTCGGACTTGATGATCTGTTCAGGTCCCTTCCAACCCTACCAACTATGAAACAGTTCCCCCTCTTAATACATGCATGCCTGTTTTGTGTGGCTGATTAGGGTGTAAAATTGCATATGCATGCAAGAAAATATGGTAACTCATAGATAAGCATGAGGTTTTAAAATTATATTTTTATTAGAAAAAAGATATCAATGAATTCTGCTGTTTGTAGAATTTAACTGTGAAAAATAAATGGTTCTATTGAGACTTATGTAAGACACCTACTCTTTTTAGTTTGATAACATAGTTTTGTTATTTGATCATTTTTTCCTCTCTCACTGTTTTGGTCACCTTCTTTTTGTTTTTCTTATTTTACTTCTTTACTGAGGATGTTTGCAAAGGGGTTATTCTTTTCAAATTCAGTATCACAACACTATGCAGTAAGACAGAGTTTAAAAAAACACTCAGTGTAGGCAAAGATATATGACTGGCTTATGTGAATAACATATAATCCATTGGTTCTGAGAGGGTAAATTATGTCAGTTGTGTTTTCTTTGCCCATTTTTCTCATTGTGTTTAGTGTGACTACTTTCTGCTGCTCACAAAGGTATTAAGAACTTGCAACCCTTCAAAAGAACTCTAAATCTCTGTACACAGCTTGGAAAATTGACCAATGATGATGATGATGAAAAAATCAAAATAAATCTAACAGAAAACAAATGCATGTTTAAATACATCATTCTACATGGCACATTCTAATTCATCCCTTCAGTCATACATCTTTTTTTTCTCCATTTAGATCACAAGTCTGTTACAGCCTTGCCATCTTACCTAACTGTTCGTTGTATAATAAAATATAGAAATAATCAGATATTAAAATAATAATCCCAAAGTGCTCTTTTGACAAATGCACAGAGAAAAGCTAAAGGAGACAAATATGTTCCAGCCATATTAATGCTATAGCAAGTCTGTTAGGTCATTATCAATTCTGATTGTCCATCAAACAGGCTATAAAGTTTCTTTTCTGGGTTCAGTAACATATCAAAAAGGGACAGGAATCATTTCCTACCTGTTAAGTCATGAAAAAAAATCAAAAAGAAGACTGAGTTATCTAGCTATGTCAACTCCATTTTCATTATAAATATGCTCCCTGAACCTGACATAGCGTGCAAGTGTTTAATGGTTTTCAACATATTTAGTTTCAAGTGCAATCGACCACTGATGCACAGAGAGCTGTGTACTATGCTAAGCATCTCAAAGGAATCATGAGGTAGATGAGGGAATTGAAACTGGGTCTCAGAACATTGATTTAAGTATTAGACTATCTTTTCTCCAAGCCTACCTATTTTTTGTTGTTTTTTTTTTTTTAAACGAAATGCCCCCAGGGTCAGTGCAAGCCAGAGATAAATGCATCAGCACTCAGAGGACAGGTAGAAGTTAATCCCATGCAAAGAATCCTCTTGGATGTTAATTTTTTTTTCCACACACCAATTTCAGGCAGTCATTGGTCAGTTCAAATGGATTCTTCATTTCTTCAATATGTGTTTCAAAAAGCATAAGAACATACAATCCACTATTGCTAGTAAGCCCTTGAAACTGATCTTAATGAATGCTATTGACTTGAGAGATGATTCAGGGGCTTCAGCTGTGTAGGTCACCTCAGAAAGAAAGAAGAGTGTTATATACAGTTTATAGACTCATGGACTCATAGAGAATTAAGGTTAGAAGAGACCTCAGGAGGTCATCTAGTATTCTAGTCCAATCCCCTGGCTCAAAGCAGGACCATTCCCAACTACATCATCCCAGCCGAGGCTTTCTATAGCCAGGTCTTAAAAACCTTTAAGGATGGAGTGTCCACAACCTCACTGGGTAACTAGTTCCAGTGTTTTACTAATTTTCTCATGAGAAAGTTTTTCTTAATATCTAACCTAAACTTCCCTTACTGCAGCTTGAGACCATTGCTCCTTGTTCTGTTGTCTGCCACCATTGAAAACAGTCCAGCTCCATCCTCTTTAGAACCACCCATTAGGTACAGTTGAAGCCTGCTATTAACTTCCCACTCAGTCTTCTCTTCTCCAGAATAAATATGTCCAGTTCCCTCATCCTCACCTTATAAGTCATGTGCCCAAACCCCTTAACCATTTTTGTTGCTACCCATTGAATTCTTCCAATTTGTCCACATCCTTTCTGTAGGGAGGTGTGTGTGTGTGTGGGGGGGGGTGCTAGATACAGTACTCCTGATGTGGCCTCAGCCAGTGCAGAATAGAGGGAAATAATCACTTCCCTCAGTCTG